TGTACAGAGAAACCTCACTAAATATATGTACATAAATATATACACACAGAGGCATACAAATAAATATGATATATGTGTACATATACAGAAAAGGATTTCAACAAATATGACATACGCACATGTGTGTATATAGACAGAGACTATATGTTGCACATGTATATACATATACTCAGAAACATATACACAAACATGCATACACATACAAACACAATCAGGCCTACTTGACTTCAAGACCAGCTCTCTAATCACTAAACCATGTTATCTCTCTGAGTATGTATGTGCATATGCGTATGAACATACATGTGTGTATATATATATAATATATATTGTATACATATATATATATATATATATATATATATTACCATATATATTTAAGTTCTTCAAACATGTTGAAAATCCCCCTTAATACAATCTTGTGGTTCATCTATAGGTCTTCAGAATTTGTATTGATGGCTACCATAGCAACCCATGGTCTTATTGTGTTTGTTTGGTTTTCTGTATTTTTGAACATGAGAGTATGTCGCACTCTTAAGGACTTAAAAATCAATTACAAAGACAGCTTTGGTAATCAGATTTGACAAGCCTCTTGCAACAGTGAGGAGAATGGAATTGAAGTAACTTGACCCCATGATCAAGGCCTGTTAAGTACTCCTCTTCAAGAAACATAGAGAAAGATAGTCAGAAAACACAGACCAAACATTGCTTTAAAATCTTAGGTCAACAATGGTGAATCAGTAATGGAATTTTAGGGGGTTGGGAAGAAGGAGAGGGAGGGAAGTGAAGGGAAAGAAAGAAAATTGGACCTGTGTTATACAAAGGCTGTCAGACAAAGAAGGGTAAAAAGGTTAATTCTACTACTGCTATTCTGATCCCTGCTTTGCTTAGTGGAGGATTCATCTGGGAAATTCTTATACGGGACACCAAGATTGCAATTCGCCTTGGGGCACTGACCCCTAGGGAACCCATAGGTTTATTAATAGATCAGGGGCATCTCTATCCTGAAAAAGGAGCAAAAGTTACTGCTGGCAAAGTTGTAATTTGCCAGTAGGCTTATCCCTGTAATAACCATGTCTCTTACAAAAGTCCCATGATTTCCAGCAAGGTGTGCTATTAGAAGTTATCTAGTCCAACCCTTCATTTTACACATGGGAAAAAGAAAACTGAAATGTAGAGTAGCCTAAGGTTGCATAAATCATAGAATCGAAGGTTAGTACCAGAAAGGGACTTTGAGATCATCAAGCACATTGCCTCCCACTTGAACTGAGATCACTGGGAGTAGGAACTGTCTTTTGCCTTTCTTTGTATCCTCAGTGATGAGCACAATATCTGCATACGGGAGGGCTTAATGAATGCTTATTGCTGCTTATTGACTGATCATGGTGAAGCAGAAAGCTTGTTGGCTTTAGAGTCGTGGGGATTGAGTTCAAATGAGAGTTTTGTCACCTAATTACTGGACTTTGAGAAAACTACATAACTTTCTTTATCTACTTCATCTGTAAAATGAGGATATTAGACTAAAATGCCCTTCAAGTCCCTGATTGATCTAAATCTATCTTCTAGCCATTTGCTTTGTTTCTTTGTTTTATAGATGAAGAAACTGAGACCCAGAGAACATCATAGGTTATCATATGATCATTATTTTGTCTGTCAGTCAAGAAGGATTTATTAAATGATTACTCTGCTTTAGTCACTATACTAAGTGCTGGAAACACAAGTAGAAAGACAATCCCTTCCCTCAAGGACTTTATATTCTAATGAATGTTGTCTTTGTTGAGTCGTTTCAGTCTTCCATCTCTCCATGACCCCATTTGGGACTTTCTTGGCAAAGATATTGGAGCAGTTTACCATTTCCTTTTCTAGCTCATTTTACAGATGAGGAAACTGAGGCCAACAGGGTTAATTAAGTGACTTGCCCAGTGTCACACAATGTCAAAGGCCAGATTTGAACTCAAATGAGTCTTCCTGACTTCAGGACTGGCGCTCTATCCACTGCACCAACTAGCTGCCCCTCTAATGGAGTAGGCCAACATATGAAAGAAAGCTAGAAAGATAGGGGATGGCATGGGGAACAAAGGTGCAGGGTAATTGTAGAGAAGGTCTTGGAGAAGAGTCAGGAATGCAGTGTGGAAAGGAATGAAGATATGGGTGGCCTAGGAGGCCACTTTAAAATGAAGATGCCGAGAGGAACCAACCAATCATGAGTGGCCACAGAGTTGGAAGATACTTCCAATGTGTGAAGAGAGAGCTAGAGTAAGCTTTCAGAGTGGAGCAGTTTCTGGGGCATTGTAGAAAAAGTTCTGGAGCAGATACAGGAGGGCAGCCTGGAGGGAATGAACTGGAAGGTGTCTCAGAGTTCATTCATCCAGTCCAGTCCCTTCATGTTACAGGTGAGGAAACTGAGACCCAGAAAGGGTAAGTTACCTGCCCACAGTCACAAAAGGAGGAAGTGAAACTGCCATCCCACTGGCTGGCTCTTGCCTTCCTTTGGAAATTAGCTTCCATCTACATTGCATGCACCTTAGACGTGTATAGTGATTTTCATGTTGTCTCCCCCCATCACAATGTGAGCTCCTTGACAGCAGAGATGGGGCTTTATTTATTTAATTTTTGGTCCTTCTTTGTATCACTAGCACTTAGCACAGTGCCTGGCAAATAACAAGCACTTAGTAAATGCTTACTGACCAGCCTCTGCAGAGATGTGGAAACTATCATTATGGAACGCTGCATGTAATGTCAGACTTGGTTGAACGGCCGAGTAGTCTTCATTTTTGTTTTTTGTTTTTGGTTTTTTTTATGAGAGTGGCAGGTCTTTGACACATGCACAGATTGCTTAAGATGAAGGTACGAGCAGCCTCTTTCCATTAGTGGCATAACTGGAGATACTTACGTCTTTAAAATTTCCAGATTGGGCATGACTGACACACACTCTCTCTGTCTCTCTGTCTCTCTCTCTCTCTCTCTCTCTCTCTCTCCTTCCCTCCCTCCCTCTTTCTGCCTGTGTGTGTCTTTGTGTGTCAGTGTCTATATCTCTTTCTTTGTCTTTGTGTGTCTGTGTATCTGTCTCTCTGCCTCTTTGTCTCTCTGTCTCTGTCTCTCTGTTGTTCCCTCTCTCTGTCTCCATCTCTCTCTCTCCTTCTGTCTTTTGTAGCATCTAAGGGTTAAGGTTCACACACAGCTTGGGCATTATGCACTAAGCTGGATAAGAAGAAGGCCACTTACCTTCTTCCTCTTGCTTTAGGCTCTATGACCCCAAGAAATGGGCTTGGAGTTTTGGACTCTTTCATTTTGTCCTTTTCAGTTCTAGGTGCAGGGAATTTGGACTTGGAATTTAGTAGGACTGATGCTATATAAGAACTGAGCTAAATTGTAAACCCACTTCTCCCCAGAGACCAAAAGTGTGAAGTTAGGATTATGACTCCAGAAGTTGGGGAGGGGGGTAATATTTGTTCTTAATATGCCTTTGAAATAAATATTCCTTTGTAAAAGCTAATCTAACAGTTAAACAGCTAAATGGAACTGGGGTGATGAGAAAAAAATATTAAGAGGATATAATTGTGCACTTGAGCAAAGACTAGACACTCCCCAAACCCTTAATGATATAGGAGAACCCTAGAAAAAGGAGGAAATATAATAGATCTGGTCTTCAGGCAGTGGGAGGTCAAAATAGTCATAGTTATACAAGGGAATGGCTTACTGCATAGGGGAAAGATAAAGATACAAGAAAGAAATTAAAGTGATGTAAGAACAAAAAGACAGCAATATAAATTTTAAAAAATGAAATGAATGTCAAGGACAGGTAGCATGGACTCACAGAAGTGCAAGATGCAGCTTAAGGGAGGAATACAAGGTGAGGAAGTCATGTTGGCCTTGATAATGAGGGGAAGTAGGATGCCATGAAGGGAGGTAGTACTCAGTTAACTGTATGTATATAAGCCTCAGGCCTTTGGGGGGGCAGCATCTCCCTCAATTTCTCTATCGGTCTACTCTAATATCATTAAATCATGATCTCTTTGGATGCCTTGGGCAACTGTTCTTTGTCCCATTTCAGTAATAAAGTGGACATGTCCAGGCATTTAAGCCACTAAATCTTTTCTTGGCTGCTAAGAGCCCTGTACAATGCCTTTGACCATCTGTCAACAACAGTACTTCAAGAAGGGATTTGGGGTGAAAATGACTCAATTCTTGTTACCTTTTAAGCAAGTAGCTAACAGAATGCTGTGGTAGACTCAATCCCATTCAATTAACAGACAATTTTGCTTGAGAAAGAGGCAAGAGGAGGTATTTAGTAAAGACTTTTAAACATAAAGACTTTTTTTTAGAAATTTCAGGTTCAACACAAATGTAAATCCATTAAAATGACTCCTATAAATTGGAACTATAATTCTTGACATAACCTTACAAGACTATCACTTCTCTAAGACATGTTCTGGGTACAATTGAGTTAGAGAGTGATACATGAATGAAAAGGCATGTATTAAGCCCTTAACTATGTGCCGGGAACTATACTAAGCACTGGGGATTCAAATCCATGAGTAGGACAGTTCCTGCCCTCAAGGAGTTTACATTCAAATTTTGGGAGACAACACAAAATTATGTGAGGGCTAAGGAAGAAGGTTTCTGGGAGTCACATGGATAGTTCTCTGATTCACAGGGTAGCCTACTGATGAGCCTTTCATGGAACAATGATAACATGGAATATTGATTTGATTACTGAACCCAGAACAAGAGATAGAAGGGATAATTAGTGAAAGTTCTTACTACACACCTGGAAAGAGGACGATTAGTAAGATGGTTGGAATGGAAGTCTAGAGTGGTGTAAAGCTGCTCTAGTCTGGTGTTCTGAAGCCAGCTATATGAGAAATAAGTGGGCTTTTGCTCATTTATTCAACAATCAAGAAAAAATTGTACCAGTCAGTCAATAGTTAATTAATACATATTTATTGACTATTATGCACCAGAGAGTCCCTGCCTTCAAAGAACTCACATCTAATGGGGGAAAACAATACATAAAAAGAAGGTGAAAAGGGTGGGGGGAAAGGGAAGGTCTTAGGTGGCATGAAGTTCAGAGGAGTGCAACCAGATGGAGATGATGTGATGGTTGCCCTAAGTGCCCCTCTTGAATGAAGAATCCAGAAAGAGCTCTCCAATGTCCATTGTCCACACTCAGAGAGAAGGAGAAATGGGCCTCAGGGGCACAGATTCCAGATAAGATTGAGTTTCAAGGTTGATGTGGTCTTGCAAAATGATGAGTTTCTGGAAATCTGGATAAAATTCAGAAGAGGACAAATTGGGGATGCACAAATTCCAAATTACAGTTCCTAAGTAAAGGTATTTTTATTTTCTAACAGTCTAGTCTAAAGATACTGCTCCAGGTGTCAAAACAGAGAAAAGGCAGAGCATATGGCAAGAGAACCAAGGTGAATGGCTAGATAGGATGTGATACATATTCTAATGTATGCATTATTTTGCCCCTATGTCAAATTGCTAATATGTAATGAGGTATCATTCAATAATTAAGATACTGGCAAGTATAGATAAACAAGGAAGTTCCTAATAGGCAATTAGGTGGCTCACCGGATAGAGTTCCCAGCCTGGATTCATGATGATCTGAGTTTAAATCCATACTCAGATATTTTACTAGCTTTGTGATCCTGGGTATGTCATTTAGCCTCTGTTTGCCTTAGTTTCCTCATATGTAAAAATGGGATAATAATAGCACCTACCTCCCAGGACTGTTATGCAAATCCAATGAGCTAATAGTTGTAAAGTAGTGCCAGGCTTGGTACCTGTTAGCTATTATTATTAATATTTATTTATATTACCTTTTCAGCCACTTTGTATTAGAATGTTTATCTTCACTAAATTTAGAACTCTTACTTTCTGTGAATGTATTATTTATATTCTCAGTTTTCATGATACTGTATTAAAAGTATAGTTGCAGCTTATGGTCATAATGGTCATAATTGCATCTCTCTACTGAATTTTAATCCAATGCTGACAACTTTCTCCTGTATTTGTGTGTGTGTGTGTGTGTGTACCAAGGTCAAGGGATACATATATATATGTATATATATATGCATATATATGTATATATATATGCATATATATGTATATATATATACACACACATATATATACACACACATATATATATACACACACATACACACACACACATATATATATCCAGAAGTAAATATGTGTGTGTGTGTGTGTGTGTGTGTACACATACATACACATATATATGTGTGTATATATACTATATATATTATACATTCACACTCCTGGATATATATACCTTGACCTTGACATATGTAGGCAACAACTCAAAATGTCTAAAATACATATTTTCTCTCAAAAATCTATCCTTCCTCCAAACTTTCTTATTGCTTTTAAGCATCTCACCATCTTCCTCACCACCCCAGTTTTTTAATCAGAAATCATTCCTACACTCTCACATGCACTCAATTTTCAAGTCTTGTCAATTCTACTTCTATCTCTCAAAGCCATCTCCACTCACACAGATACTATGCTAGTAGAGGGTCTTATAAACTCTTACTTGGACTCTCAACAGCTTCCTACCTAATCTCTCTGTATCTAGACTTTCCCCTCTCTAATCTGTTATTCAGAGATGCTAAATTGATACCCCTAACCCACAAATCTATCTATATTTTTGTAATCAAACATCTTCAAAAGTTCATTATTATTTCTTGTGAGAGAGAGAGAGAGGAATTTTAATTCTTAGTCATGAATTTACAGCCTCCATAATCTGGATCCCACTTACTTTTCCAGTATTATATTATTCTCGTACTTTTTCATATTATTTCCACTCACAAGCTCTCTATTCTAACTAAGTTGACTAATTAGCTGTTCCCTATTCATCCCTTCTCCACCTCCACCTCCACCTCTCTCTCATTTTTGGGCTCTATTCCCTCCTCACCTTGATACTTGAATCTCTAGCTCCCTTTAAGGTTCTGTTCAGGGACAACCTGCCATGTGAACCTTCAATGATCTTCCCCATTGTTACTGCTCTCTACCTCCTCAAAATTATATTTTATACTTGTATATTTGTATTTATGGCAGTTCTCTTGTCTGGTGCATTAGTCTTATTCTGAGAATGGCAATGGCTGAGTTAAATCTGCATTGATAGTTCACCTGTCTGGGGCATAGGTCTTCCTCAGGGTTCCAGGAAAAGCAGTTACTGAGTTTTCCGACTCAGAATTCTGAGACTACAGTTGCTTTTTGCCTATGACACACAGTGGAATAGTGGAGTGGTTTGAGAACACAGAAAACTTCAATGATTTATATATATAAAGAATTAGAGAACTTTTAGGTTAAAAAAGGGAGGAATATGGATGTTAAAACTCTTCTTTGATTAGGGGACAAATATAATTTACCTGATTATAGTCAGATGATGGGAATTTGTGTGCTTTACTACTCTGGAATTTTAGTCCTGTATATACTCTCCCCATGGCCACTGTGTGCATTGGTAGAAAACTGTAATTGAAGTTTATAGGAGGGATCTCATATAAATACACATGTGGGGGGTGCATTTTCAGTAAATATTTTAAGAAGAATTGTGGATTGGTATTTTACTTATCTTTGTAACATGTGTATCATCAACCCAGAACAATTTAATTTCTTAAGGACAAAAATCATTGCATTTTTGTCTTTTTTGTCCCCAGAGGCTAGCACAATTCCTTGTCTGTAGAAGGAGTTTAATAAATGTTTATTAAATTGAGTAGAAAAACTCCTAGCATGAGTAGACTTGATCTACATATAAGTAACCCTAATTCTCATATGTTATCAATGCCAGAAATTCCATCTTGTTTCTGACTGAGTAACAAATGGTCTTTAATTGAGAAATATCTAAGGATATGCCACTAGTATGATCATCTACTGAAGCCAAATTCTATCCCCATCACTTCATTTAATAATAGTGCTATTTTAGACAGTCCTTTTTATGTGCCAGGTACTGCACTAAGGACCTTTCAATTATTATCTTATTTGATCCTCATAAAAATTGGAAGGTAGATGCTATTATTGTCCCCATTTTAATGATGAAGAACTAAGGCAAATGGGGGTAAGTGGCTTGCCCAGGGTCACACACCTAGTAAGTGTCTAAGCCTGGATTTGAACTCAGGTATTCCTGACTCCAAAAACAGCGCTCTTGCCAATGATTCACCTGGCATATGCTGTATTGAAAAAACTAAATGATACTTGGAGAAGTTATTTTTACAATCGTTTATTCTTCATTTATCTTCCTTTTTCCCTGTTCACTACAGGGCAGTTTTGAGGATGAATATGATAAGATGGAAAGAATGCTGAAGTTCAAATCAGAAGATCTGAGTTTGAATTACAACTATGCTACCTATTAGCAGTGTGCCCTTGATTAAGTTATTTCACTCATGTGAGTCTCGGTTTCTTTATACACAATGTAAGAGCGTTGAGCTAGATGACCTTTAGGATTCCTTCCACTTCCAAACTGGGTAATCCTCTGATTATTAAGAATCTCTCCTTCACTGCTCCTATTCCCACTGATTCTAATGCTTCTGACAAGTTTTCGAAATCTTTCCAAAAAAACATTTTGATGATGCAATTTGTTTGGAAAATGACATCTAAGCAAGGTCAGCCTTACACAGGTCATGGCCACACTTTTCTGCTGAGACAAAGATCAGCTCTCCACTGACGCCATCATTCATCCATCCCATTAAGCAAATCAATTGCATTGATTGTTCTAAAAGATTTAAGTTACTTTTCATGTGGAAAAAAAATGGAAAGATAGTTTGAAAGGAAAATCATTGTGTTGCTTTCTGCTTCCTTGATGCTTAGTGACATTATATATATCAGAGTGACAGTTCTAGGAGGGCAGGCCTCACATTAATTCATTACAGTGTAAAGATGAATGAAATTTTAAAGAAAATGTTCTGTCTCTATTACATTTATATATTAAAAAACTAAAAATGTGAATTGATTTTTCTAGATCTTGATAAGTAAGTAAAATTTCACAGTTCAAATCAGATTTATCTTTTACTGTCATAATGAAAGACCAAATTCAGTTAATGCATTCAGTGAGAGAATTAGTGAATTAATTTACTATGTTTCTGTTTGCCTTATGTTACCTTATTTTCTTTTGAAGTATAATCTTCTACCTGATCTGCCATCTTATCACATGAAAGTACATATGCTTAAAGCAAAAAGTTTCCTTGATGACACAGTGAAGGGTGCCAGATTTGGAGTCAGGAAAACAGGAATTCAAATTCTGCTGCTGACTCTTACTAGTCATATGGGCAAGTAACTGAAGCTCTGACCCTCCGTTTCCTCATCCATGAAATGGGACTAATAATAATAACTCCCAACCTTAAAGTATTATTGAGAGGACCAAATGAAATATGTATGCAAAGTAATTTGCAACATGCTATCTAAATGTTAACTATTATTACCAATATCATTGCTGTGAACATGAACTGATCATCAAATAATAAATAATTTATGTGGGCAAGGAATTTTTCTAGGTATTTTGGAAGATTAAAAAAAATCATAAGACACAGTCATATTCTTAGAGAATTTATATTCTCATTAAAAATAAAAGACTTGCAGAACACCATGAAATGCATGCAACTCTGTGATCTACGGCTTCTTCACTGTGTGAATTAAGGCAGAACCAACAACTGCTTTTGAGAACTAGAAATTAAAAGAACCATATGTGACACTTATTTCTTTTGTTCTTATTATATTTGTTCTTCTCTATTACACACAAGCTGTATGGTCATAACATAGGAGGTGCAAATAATTATAATAACAGTAATTTTTTTTAAAAAACATTTTTGTCCATGGAATCAAAGAATACTATAAAAGGAACTTAGAGAAAAGGTCATCTCGTCCCAACAAGATCTAGACAGAAACCCTTCCTGCAATAGCTTGGATAAGTGGTCATCTGACCCCTTTCTAAAGACCTTTAACTGAACTTACTGGTTGTTTTAAAATATTTAAGACCCCTAAAAAAGGAAACCTCTTCTACATTTAGGTAACTCTAATTGTTAGGAAGTTTTCCTATGTTCCTATGCAACTTTCACCCATTTTTTCCTAGTTCTGTCTTTTGGATTGAAGCAGCATAAATCTAATGGTGCCTTCACAAGATATACCATCAAATAACTTGAAGCCATCTATCATGTTCCCCATAGGTCTTCTCTTCTCAGTTTCTATTTACTTCAACTCTTCCTCGTGTAATCTGGTATCCAGGTCTTTAGACACCTTGGTC